CCCCCCCCCCAAAAAAAAGAAGAATCCCACATTCATACTGAAATGTACCAAACTTTTTGGGTCCCCTGGGATGCTGTAACTTGAGCTCGAGGGCCGGTTTACTTACAGACTGCCCATTTCCTCCAGCCAACCAAGACTCACCGACAAAGCACTGACTGTTTATCCCTAAAAAAGAAATTAGGTGAAAGGTGTCCAACATGAAGACGTCTCTCTGTACCACCTCTCGGTAAATATACATTTCTGCTAAATTAGATATTTTTGCGCTGATTGTATTCATTTTTCAATCAAACAATTTCACTGTTTGTCAGATCATGCAGCCTGCTTGAAACCTAGACAGCGAGTCTCACTCCTCCATTGATCATTTGAATCAATCAGATAATCCCATTTCACTGATTAATCGATCACATGGCCGCGCGCAGACGCAGATCCCGCCCCGGCTGTATTAAAACCTGGCTGCATCTGTCAATAAGCAGAAGTTCCTGTCAAATCTGTGCTCCGCAGGTTAATGATTTGCTGGTTATCTCGTACTTAGTACTTGAGCGTGGAGTTTGGAGTCTGCCCTCCCCTCCGATAAAACATAATAGGAGAAGCTTGGACTTGCTTTGCCTTTCTTTTTTTGGCCCTTTAGTGACTCCTCAGCCACTGACTCTTTTTCCTGTGTCGGTTTTTGATTCTTCTGGCTGCAGAGAGAGGAGACACAATGTTAACCCTCGTTGTGTTCTTGCTTTGTACAGCCTCATGTGTCTCAGCTTCAGCCAAAGGTGAGTGGATGGGTTGTGACTTTATTTCTGTGTGTAGATACAGTTTGTGGTAGTGGGATGTTTGGGGACAACAGAATATTTAATGCAAGATGAATGCATTTATTTGGGACAAGAAGAGCTCAACTACTAGAAATGTGTCATGTTTTATGAAGTTTATGTGTAGGTCTAAATGGCACTTTGGTGTGCCCTGGAGGCTTCTTCATAGAGGAAAAGTTGGGAAATTATTGATGAGCTTCATTTTAGTGTTTAAAATCCTTATATAAATGAATCCTGGCTGGATTTAGTGAGTAGTTTTTTCATTGTCAATGTAGTAGCTTCACATAATGTTCTGTTTGGTGGCATCACTGATTCATAAGAATATAGTGAAGAAAGATACAAGAATATAGTGAAGAAACACATATTTTATATCTTTTGGTGTTTTGCTTCTGATGTTCCCTAAGAATCTCTCAGTGTAGACCCAGAATTTGTATTTGTTGAATTCAGCCCCACGTTCTCCTCAATGACTGGTGATGAAATCAAATACTGACACGTCAGTCTGTCCTCCCTCGTGGCCTAATGTCATATCTAACAGAAAAGCTTGTCATTAATAGAGCAGAGGAGAGATTTTTATCTACGAACACGCCTTGTTAAATGGCCGCTGATTGAGTCACCTCAACGCTATCCGCAGACAGTATTTCTGTAAAATAGACACAAAATAATGAAAGAAGAGAAAGAGAAAGAGCAGTATATTCTATGGAAGTTTTTTAAAAAAACAACTTTCATGTCAATACCTGTCACTGCATTTGGGAAGCTAAAACACAAGTTAAGGGTACCTGGAATTACATATTTGAATGCAAAGCTGAAGAAAGCCTTACACCGCAAGACTTAATTTGTCAGTTTGTTACGAACAGATTATATTTATATCACCTATTAGAATGAATGTGAATCCATCTTGTCTTGTCATGAGCCACAGCTTTGTGAATTATTTTGGTAAAAAAGCACAATGCCTTTTAACAGAGGCTTTTACTCACCCATTTCGGCAGTCTTCATTATTAAAAATGACATGAATTACTGACATAGAGTCATTTATTTTGAGCCCATTCATTGAAGTGGACCCTTGTCATCTTGTCAAAGTTACATTATCATTAATGGCAAGGCAGTTTAAAGTGTAGATTTGCTTTTAAAAGTATGTGACAAACAAATGAAAATGACTGTTCACTGGGATGAATTACTGTAACAAGTTGCAGGTTTATACTAGTTGATATTTATAACTGACATTAAATGAAAAATGTATCTTAAAAGCTACGTTTGGAAAATGTTTGGCAGTAATATAAAGCGCCACTCTCCACTCGTGTGTTCTCTACAGCTGTGTTTTTTGTGTTTCTTCAGGTGGTGCTGCTGCTGGACCCCGGCTGAACAACAACCAGCTGTACAAATTCAGCTACACCACCGAGGTGCTGGTGGATAAGACTAGGGGGTCAAAAGAGGGCAGTGCTGGCTACAGGATCTCCAGCGATGTGGACGTCAACCTAGTTTGGAGAGATCCCAGCAGCAAAGATGAACAACTGATTCAGCTGGTGGTATGTTGGTCACATGTTGACATAGGATATGATGTCATTGCATAGTAAATTTTAGTCAGGTCAAATATGAGTGAGTTAGTTCTTCAGAGGTGATGGTTTGCTCAAATGAATGAATCTCTCATTCATAGATCTCAAATGTGAGGCTCAACCCTGCGTCCCGGCGATCAGAGAAGAAGAACGTCCTCCATGGATCCACAGCAGAAAGCGTTTTGGGGAAGACTAAATTAGCAGCTCTGACAAAACCTTTCTTACTGCATCTGAGAAATGGAAAGGTAAGAGCATTATCATTTCCACTCTTGGCACTTATCATGGTCGAAATACAACACCTTTTTACATAAAGAATGAATAGGAACAACATCAGCCAATTTCTGATTGTCATCTGACATGTAATGTTATAAATTCAGTAATGTACTTCCAGTACTGCCCTGTTGTAGTATTCAGAGAATTAATGAGCTTACCCTCATTGTGCTGGAGTGATGATGCTGGCAGGGGAAATACCAGACAACGTGTGTGTGTGCAAAGGTCTGCCGGTTCAGAGGGTCAATGAATGAATGAACAAGCCTGACTCAAAGAGTGGCTCCCGGTTGGTGGATAAGGCTCATACTGTCTTCTTACTGGCTGTGAGATGTTTGAGTTCAAGCCAAACTCATTCACTGTTATCACATCATTATCACTATATACTATCCCAATAGTGCCACCAGATGAAGAATAGCAAGCTGGTTGTTAGATATCTTATTAAAGGACCCAGGAGAATAATCATATGACATTGGTTCATGGCTAAATACTGTTGAAGAAATCTGCTGGCAAAGGTAAAGATCTCTTCACCCAAGTTTCCAGCCATAGTGGCATGGGGATGGCACTGTCAGTCTGTCTGTCCACCACTTTGGTCCAGACTGAAATATCTCAACAGCTGTTGAATGAATTTCTGTGAAATTTGGAACCGACACTCATTTCTCTTTCAAGATGAATTGTTTGTATGAACTTAGTACCATCATCAGGTCGAGATTTTACGTTTTGGTTTTGACCAAAGACCTGCAAAACTAATGACATTACCATCAGCCTCAGCTGTACTTTATGGATAGTGCTAATTAGTGGATGTTAGAATAGATAGATAGATAATTATACACTAAACTAAGATGGTGAACGTGGCATAAACATATCTGCTAAACATCAGCATTGTCATTTTACGCATCTTAGCACGCTGACATTAGCATTTATCTCTCACTGTGATCAAGTACAACCTCTTAGAGCCGCTTTAGTAGTTATTATGTTTTTTATTACATGTTATGTTTAGATATAGTAAAATCTTTAGTACAACATTCTAATAAGGCACCCTTTATTAAAAAAGTGTTTATAAGTTCTAACTTTTTGTTGTTTATTATGAATGGTTATTCATGAATATATAGGTAAGTTATAAGAATAGAAATAATAACGGTTTTTGGGTTGCCATGTTATGAAAATTCCCTTTGATTTCTTTGACTGGACTGTATGACCACTTAACCTCAGGAAACTGACATCATTTATTAACATCTTATTGAACATTTCTCAATAGATTACAACATTTATAACTGAATTAATACCAAATAAAACAAATTAACACTAGCGAAAACCTAAAATGTGTTCTTATTAATGGCCTAGAACAGATTTATAAAGTATAAGTAAAACAATTAGTTATAATGTTTAAACCCTTTATTAAGAAATGGTACCAAGATCTCTAATGTCCACTGTTGCATAAAGGGTCCAGTGTGTAACATTTAGGAGGATCTACTGGCAGGAATTGAATATAATATTAATAGATATGTTTTGATTAGTGTATAATCACCTGAAAATAGAAATCCTTCAGTTTTTGTTACCTTAGAATGATCCATTTTTATCTACAGAGGGAACGTGTCCTCTTTGGAGGCTGCCATGTTTCTATAGTAGCCCGGAACGGACAAACCAAACACTGACTCTAGATAGTGCCACCGTAGTTTCTCCTACATGCTTGAAAGACCTGATCTGTATTCAAATGGTTGCAATCTGTAACTTCACCGCTAGATGCCACTAAATCCTACACACTGGTTTTTAAACCATTGTTCACCAAAACAAAACAAGTCTTAGCTAAACTTTACCTCTCGGGATTAATACTGGTTCAGTGTGGAGGGAAGGTTGGAAGAATGAACGGTGTGATACAGGATAGATGTGTCTCCCCCGGTGTTGTTATTTATACTGATGGCAGGCTGTTGCAGGAAAAATACACAGAGTAGCAGTGGGCAATCTATTTATGGTGGTCCTAGATGATATTGTGGCTGAGCACCAGAAATAAATTACATACTGTATAGGAGACAGCGTAGGATGATGTAATAGGCTGGTTTCTTCACTGATGAGCAGGACACAGAGTCCATCATTGAGCAAAACTGAAGCCTCATTGGGAAACTCTGCGTTGTGATATGATATTTCTCAAGATGAACAAAGCTCATTTGGCTGAGCTTTGGTTCCATTATTTTAATATGATATCCCATAACGTAGGTAAACATAAGACTGACCCAACTTTCATGCTGGTCATTCCTGTGTGCTGATGTGTATTGAGAATATAATTAGAGACAGCATACTGCCTGCCAGGTTGAGTCTTTTTAAAATTTTGAGGTGCTAATACCAAAGTATTCTGGTTTTGTTTTTGATCGGCACTTCAAAGAATATCTTTTATTTCTGCATGTAATGTAAATAGTCTCTGATGTCATGACCATGCACACATGTAGAAGGAAAACTGACTGAGCTTTGTGAGCGGCAGCACGTACAGTAGCTTGTTGGACGCAGCAGCTGCTTTATCTGCTGGACAGATTGTCTTGGGATCATTGTTCAAAAGCATAAAATTATTTTTAACATGTTGCTTTCTTTTTACGTGTCTGCTGTAGGCAAAAGCATTTTATTCCTACTGGGCCGAACCTGCAACCATCAAGAACCTTAAAAGAGGGCTGGCCAGCTTACTGCAAGTACAGCTCAAAACTGGGAAGGTTATAGAGGTAAATGGCATGATAATACTCCCATCACATGTATTCACATCATTTATATTTTATTACATATAGCTAATGTGAACAAACTTAATGTCTGTGAACAGAATGATGTGTCTGGAAGGTGCACAGTTGAGTACAAGGCGGTCAAAGGTCAAGTGACAAGAACCAAAATCCTGGAGACCTGTAAGACAGCAGAGACCGGATTCACCACACACAGTCAGGTATGTCAGCATCCAGACCAACTCACAATGCTCAAACTGGACTGTTACTGAATGACTAATAAATTTGGCCTTTATGTGTTCCCCTTCAGGTTATGGGTGTGAGTAAGAAGTCCAGTTCTGTTACAGTGTTCACACTCGAAGATGGTTTCATCCGCTCGGCCGTGGCTGACGAAACACACTCACTGGCTGTCAACACCCACAGATCTACTGCAGCCAAAGTCGTGTCCAAGTAAATGCCTTAACAAAGAATTTAAGTAAGCTGCCATTTCTAATATTGGGCGCACTTTAAATTTAAAATGTCTTGCTTTCCAGGCAAACCCTCACATTGGTAGGGACAGAGGCTGGACCGCTGGAAGTTGCTGGGAAAGATGTGGCTGGTGTTGTCAAGTCAATCGATGCCAAACTGGCTGCTGTTGGTATTGTGGCGGAGAAGGTCAAATCCCAGTGCAAGGGCTGTCCATCAGTGAGTATCTGTTCACTTTCACACACTAAATCATAACTTTCATGGCCATATTTAGCCATGCTCCATTAAATGACTTTGTTCCAGACTGAATTACCTCAAGTATTGAATAGGTTGACATGACAATTTGTACAGATATTGGTCCCCAGAGGACGAATCATGATGATTTTGGTGATTCCTTAAAATTTCCTCTAGCTCCATCATCAGGTCAAATTTCCAATTTTCTAATACTCTGGTTTTCTTACAAAATTACCAGCAAAACTAATTACATTTCCATCAGCACCAGCTGTACTTGAAATGCTAATTAGTCAATGTTTGCATGGTAACATGATCAACCATGTGAACATGGTAATCATTATACCTGCTAAGGGCCAGCATGTTCTCATTTTGAGCATACTGACATGGTAGAATTTGCAATTAGCGTTTACAACCTCACAGAGCTGCAGACATGGCTTCAGACTCTTAGTCTTGTCACATAATAATTAGAATGATTTGTCATATAATGATTTCATTGTGGCATCTGTCTGTCTGTGGACACATTCTTGTGAACATAGCAAGTCAAGAACAAAACACATACCACACAAAGTGGACCATATAGCAGATTTTACCTGAAGCTCCTTCCTGCAACAGTTTGCATATTTAAGGATAATTTTTGTTTATTACAACTTAGGTGTTTGGCTCTCTTATGATAACATTTAACTCATCAGAGTTACTGCTAAAATCTGGGAGCATGTCGGCATTGCTACAGTGAAGTCACAAAAAAAGTGGTCAAATTGTGTTGGGTTTGGATGAGGTGATAATTTTACCATTGGCCTTGGTTTTCTCTTCAAAATAAGTGGTTAAAGGGGTTTGTTTAAAACCTGTATGATCTGACTGATTGTGTTTCTTGCCCCATCTGACTTCTCTTAACGATCAGGGATTAGCAATGTTGATATGTTGAAAATGAGAGGAACTATGAAAAAAAAAACTAAAGTTAAGCAACAAACTGCAATTATTGTTTATCTTTCAAGTTTCCATCATCATCGCCCCTGTGTAATTGTAATTATGAGTTAAGTAGTAAGTAAAACATTTTTTAAAATTGACTAACTTGTTTTCATGAACTTGTATAAGTCATTATTACTAGGTGGCACTCTCACGCTCTTTACTGAATCAGTACAACTAACATTTTGAAGCCTACAGCCCTTCTATGGTTAGTATGGAGTATGAAGGTCTGGGTCGCACGAGTCATTATTACAGAGCGATTTCTAAGTAACACTGTATTGGTAAATAGATACTGTATATTTCTGTACTGTAATTACTGACTGAAGACGATCTGTCTCCTAATCCCCTCTCCCGTGTGTTCTCCCCCTTAGCTTTTTGAACATTGGCAGACTCAACAGAAGCTGCTGGAGCCAGCAAGCCTGTCCAAAGCCACGGCTCCTCGCAGCTTCCTGGCCCTCATCCAGGGCATTAGGAAGGCGTCCAAGGACGAGATCCTCAAAGTGCTGAAGAGTGCCAGCAAGACATCTCTGTAAACAAGCTCCTCCTTCTTCCCTACATCTTAATTTACTTACTGATTTCATCAATCTATGGTTTCTTTTAATTAGTCTACCTTTTAAGATTGAGAATGTGAGGATCCAAGAACATTACCTCACCGTTATTGTGTTTACCTTCTTCAGACCTCAGGTGGTGGATGCTGTGACCTCCTCCCAGACCACTGCATCTCTGGATGCCATGCTTGAATTTCTTAACTTCACCGACACCAAAGGTTTGGTTCTGCAGGAGAGATTTCTCTATGCATGCGGCTTTGCTTCACATCCCAATGAGAGGATGCTCCAGGCTCTGCTGGTGAGTGTCTTAAAAACAGAACTGGCTAATTAAAGGAAAGATTAAGACCTGCTGTCATATAGTACATATCAGTGATTTATATATGGAAATGGTGCTTCACCTGCACTCAAAAGTGGTACTGGTTAAAAAAACACCTCACCTTACTTCCTGTTTTGATCAATTTGGTAAATTGTATTTTCAACTACTATGGACTGTCCATTAGCTGATACTCAGAGAATCATCAAATTCCCTCAAATTGTATTAGCTTTTTTCTTGAATTAATTTTGTGGGGAAAAATCTCCTCATTAATTGCTCATATGTAATATATGATATTTAAAATTTTGTTTTAAGAATAACTCTGCAAAACCATTTTACATTATACTGAAATTATATGCCAGCATTGAATATTTTTGATTGAATTTTAATGATAAAAATTTCCTTTTCAGGATATTTCAAATGGAAAGATTGGCAGCACTGACATCAAAGAGTCAGTAGTGATCATTATGGGAGCCCTGGTCCATAAGCTTTGTCAGAAAGGAGGGTGCAACTTACCGGTAAGCTTCCAAGAAGTTAATAAATGACAAGTTACATATGAATGCAGTGCCTATTTTAATGTAAAACTTGTTGAATAGGCTGAAATGTGTGTTTTCTTTGTGGAATACTGTGTAAACAAAACCAATTTGAATGAATCCAAGAGCTGACTGATGATCTTCTGCTGTATATTTACCTCACAGACAGTGGTGCAGGTGAAGAAGCTGCTTCTTGACGGTCCTGAAAGCACACAGGTAGAGTCCGAGGTCCAGATGTATCTTCTGGCTCTGAAGAACTCTATGCTTCCGGAGGCTATTCCCATCTTCACCAAATATGCAGAGTCAGAATTGGGAGCTTACAGCACCATCGCCCTCACTTCTCTGCAGAGATACGATGTCAAACTCATGACCAATGAGGTAAGCCACTGTGTACATGACACTTCATTTTAACTGATGTTTTCGAGTGTTTCTGCTATGTGAAGCTAGCTAGAATATAACAACAACTGAAACTTAATATTTATGTCATTTGTAGGTGAAGCAGACAGTGAACAGGGTTTACCACCAGAATCGAAGGATCTATGAGAAAAATGTGAGAGCTGCTGCTGCTGACGTCATCCTCAGTAGCAACCCGTCATACATGGAAGTCAAGAATCTGCTTCTGTCTATTGGAAATCTGCCTCATGAAATGAACAAGTACATGCTATCTAAGATCCAGGATATCCTCCACTTCCAGTTGCCTGCCAGGTTTGTTATGGAGCAACAGAAATTACCTTTCCTTTCGAGTTTCGGAGTTGAACACAAAAAAAGAGCATTTGTATAACAGAACATAAATAGAAAGAGTTTTAATTGCAGCCATTTATTGTACAATATATATATTTTTTCATTTTCAGCAAAGTTATACAACAAGCTATGAGGGACATGATTTCCCATAACTACGATCGTTTTGCAAAGGTTGGGTCATCGTCTGCATTCTCGGGATTCATGGCACGTAAGTAATCAAACCTTATTTCCAAGCCTGAAATAAATTACACACTATATTGTTTCAAGATTTAGAATCTGAGATGAAGTGAAGAAAAAAGATAATAAGATTTGAGTCAACTAAGTCAAACATTAGCATTGACCTTTGGGGTAGCTTCACACCATTTTGAGTCTCACTATTATTTGCTTTTAAATAACATCACAACAGTCCATGTATGTTGACTGAGTACTTTAAAATCCTCATTCTTACAGAATCTGCTGATGTGACGTCCACATACAGTTTGGACATCCTGTATTCAGGCTCTGGGATCCTGAGGAGAAGCAACATGAATATGTATGGTGCTAGTAAAGGAGCAACGCTACATGGGCTACAGGTAAGGAAACCACATAATGAAACTGAAGTGAACTAATGTAATATATACTAAACATATATTTTGATGTTTTTTTGCTGCTTTATGCTGTTTTCATACACGACCCTTGTACTTGCTTTGCCTGTCCTCATGAATTTTTTTTTTTTTTGAATTTTGATGTAGTGTATGTGAAATATCAGAACAGATCATTATCGAATTGCTACTTTGAACTAATTTTGATATTCTTCCTGTCTTCCAGGTGGCAATTGAGGCCCAGGGTCTGGAGTCACTGATAGCTGCCACACCAGACCAGGGAGAGGAAGACCTGGAGTCGTTTGCTGGAATGTCAGCTCTGCTGTTCGGCGTCCAGCTGCGGCCCGTCACCTTCTTCAAGGGTTACAGTGACCTCATGTCCAAAATGTTCTCCATGAGCGGAGAGCCTATGAATGTAGTGAAGGGTCTCATCCTGTTGACTGATCATTCTGAGGTAAGCAGTTACTACAGTATACTACACTGATGCCCCATTTACATGACACCTTAATATAATAGGTGAACATCATCCTAGTGTTTAAAGTTTACATTTGGTATGGTTACGAACGAGAGTGACTGCCAGTAGTATTGAGTTGGGCATGACAGGAAGGTCGTTGACTCTAGGTCCTTGGCGATGACCTAGGCTATATGAAGTTTATGAAAGGAGAACAGGATTTAACAACAACTCGAGTAAAATAACAGTATTGATCATTTTTCAACAGCTTGAAATTCTCACAATGTTTTTACATTCAACTGCAAAGCAGAAGGATTGGGCACACAATGCATAGACTTTGACACTGGAGAGTCAGTCAACAGTCAGGACTGCTTTTGTTTTAGTTTTCCTAAACTTAACATACTACTTGCATGTTACATTACAGTCTATATGGGCCATTTAGGAAAACATTGACACACAGCCTATTTTGCCATATATGTATGAGTACTTTTCTACTTGGTCAGAGGAATACAGATAGTATTTGACTCAAGTTAATAATGTCAGTTGTTGAGCTTAGTGAGTTGGAACAGGGTCTAAATGTGCACTGCTGATACGAGGATGTGGCATTTTTTATGCCTTTTGCTGTGGCTATTTCAGACATAACCGAGTATTTCATTGTGTGTTTTAATTTTCTGTCCTGCTCACCTTCTCTGCTCCAGGTGATCCAGCTGCAGTCCGGTCTGAAGGCGAGTGCAGAGTTCCAAGGAGGCTTAGCCATTGACATCTCTGGAGGCATGGAGATCAGTCTGTGGTACAGGGAGTCCAAGACCAGCGTCAACAACAGGTACGGCTCAGAGACAATACAATAAAACAGCTGTTGCAGTTGTTTTTGTCTTGTAGCTGAATTAGGGCATCAGCAATCCTTTTAAATAATATTATGTGCCGTGTATATACAGTAGGTCACAGCCTCTACAACCGTAAATGATTATCTCACTGAGTACGTTTCTGAAGTACTGTATGTACAGTGTGATGTAATACACTTGCAGGGCAAAGGCCTTTGTGATAGGCAGACAATTCTTAAAAAACAACCTTTGTGACTGAAAGGAAAGTTGTTTTAGAAGTTCAAGCTATGTCACCGCACTGCAAATAGATTTCTGTTGATGTTGGATTCATGTGAACTTTAGATGGTCTATAAGTGTTGTCTGATTCATTTGTTCCACCAGCACGTTGAACACGCTCCAGTATTGTGCTTCGCGAGTGTCTCATTTTTAGGTTTGTGTGGATATGACGTAAGCTCTGTCTGGTTCTCTATTTTAAAACATTACAGTCGAGGCACAACAGTAGCCACTGAAAATGGAGCGCATCATCATGCTGGTATCGGTTTGCTTGCGGCATCTGGTGATGAAACAGGATTTAAAGAACAATGCCACAGATTTTTAACATTTAAATACGGTGTCATTTTCCTGTGCAAGAAGGGCTGCATATGCACCTTATTACTTTACCAACAACATTGTCCCTAACAGTAATTTCAAGAACCAAAACTAATTTGAATAGGTAAAATATTCTTTTTTTCATTTATTTATTATTGATAATGCGTTTGAGAAGTTACTTAACAAGAACTTAACATAGCAAAGGAAGTTATAAAACGAAATGTTGGTATCCGGACTAAAACCCAGTTTTTATACTAGCCATTTGAAACAATACCCTGTCCTAGTGCCTTATAATTATGCTTTCATTAGTGACACATCTAATCTACAGCTCTGTAAATGTCCACTATGATTACAAACGATGGAAAAGAAAAGGGAATTTTAAGTTAAGGTGCAAAAACATGCAATGTTATCAATGTAAATTGATAACAAGAATATGATTTAAGAGCAAAGAGCTTCTATCGCTTTTCTAGATCACTGTTAAGGGTCAGATCTTGAATTTGGTCTTCACAATGATTTGACCCATGTGCGGAGGGGAATGGCAGAGGCAGGTGAATGGATCAGCATAGTTGTACCTCGTCCACTCTGATAATAGACAGGCAGGCTATCTATAGAAGCAGAACAAACCACACTGGCATCTTTGCCAAGGCATGTCTCTGCCGGCAAGTTACAGAGGTTGGATGTTCAGCCGGTTGGCACAGACTTTGATTTGAAACATAAGGGGAAGTTGACACATTAAACTCTACTTGGTAGTGTCTGAGCTTAACTGTGCCTTTAAGCCACTGATACAAACTGTATGATACAAATATATGGAAGAATATGGAAGCTGACTCGTACAATATACCTTTTTCCCAGCAGCCATTTTAACATGAAATAGTAAGATAAGCACAGGTTTTACTAGTGAGGTTCTGTTCTATTTAGTGTAGCAGAGCCTTTCAGTGAACCAACGTGTACAATAGCAGCACCCTGACTCTGTTTGACCTGAATGGAACTGAGCCTGAGTTTGTATAAATGGTAACACCTGTGTTTACCCTACTATTCCATGTCAAAATGGCTGCTGTGAAAAATACTATTATATTATTATATATCAGAACACCTAAAACTTTCAAAACAGGATTTATTTTAACTTCCCTTAAATGGCCTTGATGTGAGTAACAATACCGCTCTCTAATATGTCCCAGTATGAAAAATAGAACAATAATAATTTCCCTATTTTTTACCACTTTTACCCAACTTCAAAAACTCATGTTTGTGTTGTGGAACACTATTTTAAATGTGAAAAATTCACAAATTGTGAAGTGGATTTTGGACATTTAGTAATGTAATGTAATAACTTCAGATGACATGTGATTTTATATATATCCTATCACATGTGTAACTCCATTTCACAGGTAAAGATACATTTAAATAAAATTAAAATTAAAATGCTTTTTGGACATTTACCCTGTAAAATATTTGTATTTTCATATGAAGAAACACAAGTTTTACTTTATCTTATTTTCTGTCCGTTGGACACATTTTCACTTGGTTTTTATTCGTTTCAGGGGAGCGTTAGTGGTCACTGGCAACGTTACAGTGGACATGGACTTTATGAGAGCGGGTGTGGAGGTCAGCTTCGAAACAGAGGCATCGCTGGACTTCATCACTACTGTCCAGTTTTCTAAATATCCTTTCCTGGTGTGCATGCAGATGGACAAAACTACCTTCCCCGTCAGGTACTGTGAGACCCTCCCGAAAAAAAAAGTTTCAAGGCTCTTTGGGGTTTTATTATTAAATCAGGTTGTTCAAACCCTAATTGTCTATTCTCCATCTTCTGCTTTCAGTGAATACCTGACCAAGTATGAGAGCTTATCATCAGGGAAGAGCGTTGTGTCGCATAAGAGCAAGAAGCAGCTCGTCCCTGGGTCTGAATTCCCACTTCACCAGGAGAACTCAAACATGTGCAAGAAGGTGTTTGACTCCAGCTGGTAGAAGAGATACAGAGAACTATCCAGGAACAAGATGTCATTCTTATGGGCAGAGTATTGTCACTCAAAGAAGGTTTATTGCATTCAGGGACAGCTATCACACCTCAGCCTCATGCAGTGAAAGACTGTAAGACAGAGAAGTGGTGAACAACACATGCAATGTTTACATTCCTGTGAGTATTTAAGTCATTTTAATTTGACATTTTGTTTTGAAATCATCTTGAATTGTCTTTTTATGGATTTCTTTCAAATGTATTTATGATAGGCACACACAGGATGTATGTTTTATTTTGATGGGTAATACTCAGCATGAATAGTACCACTGTAATTTTTCCCAGCAGAGTTACAGTAAAGATTAACATGTAAATATCACGCTGGAAACAGTGGGTTAACTTTCCGCATGAACAGAAACGCTCCTTTCTGTCAACATTCCTTTGTTTTTTAATTAGATGTGTTTACTAAGGAGGAGCAATTTATTGTTTTGTGTCACTGTATCACTGTTCACACACTTGAAATAACTTATTTAGCATAGTATGATCAATTAATTAAATTCTTTTATAATCACGTTGGTCATTTCTAATTGTCTCTATGGATAGGATGTGTGTGCATTGTCTTTACTTTGTACTCGCAAGATTTGAGGTGAAAATTTAATGTCCAAAAATTAATCCATCAACACTTGAATATATTTTTTGTACATTGCTGTAATTGCTCTGTTTGTCTAAAAACATTTGGGTAGTTTTGAGACTACTGAGCTACTCTCAACTTGTGTTTCTATATGAAGGAAATCAGTTTGTTAGATCTGCAATTGGCTGACAATAAATGTGCACTGGAAACACTTTTGATTTTTGACTTGGCTTATGGATTTACATTCAGCAAAACAATGTGTATGAACAGTTTTAACCCTCTGTATGCCGTTAAAGGGACACTCCATCAATTTTACAAAGTCTGTTTATTTGTCAAGAGCAGTACTGCTTAGCCTGTGAAAACATTAAATAACACATTGAGCTTTGTTAGGTCTGAGACTTACCTTAGATTAAGAACTACTGATTTTTAACAGAACGTCTGTCTTACAAAATGGGATCATCGACTTTGAAAGACACCATCAAGTCAGAATAGCTCAGCCTCTGCTGCTTTTAAATTTAGTACAACACCAAATTTCAAGAGTACTCATCGGGTACACAGTGCTCATTGCAACCATACATGGCATAATCAAAATATCTCGCAATTAGACTGGCCAGATGGCAAAGTCTTATTTTTGAACCTGTATAGATTACAGCAGGTTTGGTAAAATAATTTTTTTTTTCTACTCCATACTTTGTTGGTTGTCCATATTAGCACACATTTTTGTTAGCTGAACGATTTTGTTTAGTTAATTTGTACTTACAGTTTGTGGCATGTCCGAGGAGACAAAATGTACCTTAGTGGCCTAAATGTATCACACACTTGTTGATCCAGGTGAAGCAATAAATCTTGACTTTTTTTGTGTCACAGCTGTGACATCAGAGCCCCTACTGGCATCTAAATACAACAACTGGGCCTTAATGTAGATTCTTTAGAAACCACTGAGAGCAGCTGGGGGCAAAACCAGTGTCTGCCAGTCTCGCTGCATCCACAGCAACCGAGTAAACACTGCAGCAAACTGTCAGGTTAAACTTAAGCCTCGGCCCGGGTGATGTTTCAGTGTCACCAGAAAGCTAACCTTGCATGCTGGCAGATGCCAAATGTGTACTTCTGTTGGCATAAATCTGTTTGATTCCTTTTGACCCTTGTCATTTATTTTGTTGTACGTTTTAGTGGTGATACTTGAATGATTGGACACAAGGTTGCTCGTTATTTTAAGTACGTTTTATAGGTCACTGCAGACAAACTTTTAGCTTTACCAAGGAACATAAAGTGTTTTTGGTAAATGTAATAGATCTATTTACTATTTTTTGGTACGATACATACCTTTGGCTGTTCAAACAGTCTACTTGAAGAGCTAAAGGGTATTTTTAACAACAAAGTTGTATAAATGGTTTATAATTGATTTTTGAAGTATTAATACTTTTTTTTCATGAATACAAACATTATAGTTGCAAATTATAAACTTACAAAGCAAACCTCATTAGAAGGTATACCTCTTTGTACTGTTCTCAACTTGTACAAAGATACATCACTGCATCTTGACAAGTGATTTGATTACATATTTCCTTTTTAATTTCTCTAATAAAGAGTTAATGTGGGTTTTTAAGTGGTCACATTAAATACAGGCCGCACTCAATCATAACTAAACCTTAAAGTGATTTAAATTCATGGACACAAACATGTTCAGTAGCTTGCATTTTGAATTTATTGCAAACATATGTAGGCTTGTCAGTCTACATGACACTCATTCATCATATTGATTACTTTCAAGCTTGTAAGTGCAAACACAGCACTCACTTCTCCTTTCAAGGTATCACTCCGCTGTCATCCTGACCTCTGTCTTTTTCTGGGGCAGCCACGCAACACAGGTGATATCACGCATAAAATATATACAATCCCACTATGTGACAGTACTGCCATAAAGGCACTTCATTCAAATATGTGTCCTTTTTCTTTAAACATTCATAAATACACTTATCTCAGACCATCTCACGTTCAGCTAACCCTCTTTCTTTAAACAAAAGCAAGCTTTGATACAGTCAGTTTCCCATATTTAACCTCAAAGTCTGCAGGTTTGTTGAAGGACATCTGGAAGAATGTTTTAAAACAAATTACATTATCTATGTTACAGTGCATCTTTGGGCAAAACTCACCAGAAACAATTCATAATGCTTCATTTTAAAATGAACAAGTCCATATAGTGCTCTTGCTATCACCAATGTTTACAGCCATTCATTGCTGTCAGTGCTGGTGAGGAAATAGTGACAATCCAAGTGCATTAAGTACATTAATTATTCACAGATAAAGGTCATACAAGAAACTAATAAAATCCATGTGGGAGGTTTTTTACGAGTTTTATGTTTATGACAACATTACAATAGCTGGTTTACTGGAGTTTACAAATTAAAATATATTTCTTATTTAGGTTTTCACAGGGTTTCAAAATGATATGTACGGGAATTAATGAATCTATAATTAGTGAAATATGTGTTTTATCATATACCACCTTTGGACAACTTCTTTCAAACATATACTTTTAAAAACTCTCTGGCAAGGGGTAGTATATTATATCTCTCAATTTGGACTTGTAGTTCAAAAGTTTCCTCGGTTAATTCTTTTACTTTGGGTACTTTTTTTAATTTCTAAATAAATAACTATTAAACTTGCACTGGCTCAGGGGCACATTCATTTAGAATTATAATTATAATACTATCATCAAGAATTACAACATGTTATGAATTAAATGTACAAATTTAAGTAATATTTCACCTCAAAATGCATTAAATGTTCTAACATCAAGTTGCTCTGAAGAGCAAACCATGTCCAATCTACTGCACAGTCAACAACAAGTCTTCCAAATCACTGCATGAATTCATATCACTTACAATGAAATCAACTCATAGGGCAATTTATATAAAGTCTGTTGTCACAGAGGCATAATAACATGTATTTTACAGAATTCAGGTACATAGACTGACCAGCAGCTCCAAATACCTTTAATATGTGTTTAGATTTAAAATAGCAATCTACAGTTTGCATTAATTCTACATGGGATGCTGGTATAACTGAGTCAAGTATAGCACAATGACCTATGATGGCCCACTGCATATTCAAAAGGAAACTGGACAGAAAAATAATAATAACCTCAGAACTTTACAGTACAGAAAGCAATTATAAAATATGTGGATGTCATGTGTCAGTTTAATGGAAACCTCAATTCATACACATTTAAACTAAAGAGGTCAAGGAGTTTAAACAAGAGAAACTGACATTGCTGTGTGGAAAGACACACCCAACACATGTACAGTCTGTATGCTCTTGTCTACAGTGAAGTAACATGACTCCTAGTTGTACGCTCACAGAATGCTGAAATGCCATACATAACTCACAGCCACAAACATGGACACGCACCAACTCCCATCTCATTACACAAAAGTGTAAAATAAACGAACGCCAATAGAGGAAGTTATCCCCTAAATGCCTCAGCTGGCTTTGACTCATTAGGCCCAACACTACTTAGGAAATACTGACCTAAGTACACCGTTAAACCAGAGTCCCAGCTCCACTTCATCTGAGCAACACACACATTGTGTTCCTTTTTTTCTTCTCATTATACATGCAAGGAGCGTGCTTTTAGAATATAAACATACACCACTTATTTACAGCATTATCAGTTGTGCAGGTACTAACAGCATTTTGTGAGTCATGACACAGAGGTTACACATACTGCAAGTAGAACTTGAGCCGCTGACTGACTAAAACACATGGAAATGTTATTGTGAATGTGGAAAATCAGTGTTGGAGAGTAGTAATATGACACAAAGCAACGTCAGATATTTGTTGTTTACTTGGGACAGCTTTAAAGTATATTATTTTGAAAAACAATAAATGTAGTTCCTTATTTTTTAAATTTCCTGAAAAAAAAGGGGTGATTCAAAATGACCCCTTAATCTGTGAATCTTTTTTTCTAATTTGGTGCAGACAAATGGTCCCTGTCCTCAGAAAACTGTGTAAAATACACAATATGGGTTGTATTGACTGTAAGTAATTATCTTATTTTGTGAATTAAAGCAACACTACGTAACTTAACAGTGGCCACTGTTGTCACAAGCAGCAATTACAGGTCACATTAAATTGAGAGAGTGTTCTGTTAATTGTTTACATCCATCTTTTCCTGGAGGATCCTGAGGCATTCCCTGGCCACATGAGATATGTAAGATGTGGCCCATGATCTCCTCCCACTTGGATGTGTCTGGTATACCTCCACAGGTAGGCATACAGCAGACATCCAAAATAGTTGCTAAAGGGACCTTCATTCACTCATCCAAACACAAAAAAGCAGAGGTTCTACTCTGAGGTCTCTCCGGATGCCTAAGCTTGTCACCCTCTCTATGCGTGCGCACGGCCGCCCCGTAAAGGAAGCTCTATTTTGCCGCTTGTGTCCGGTAAATTGAGAGCATCGCCTTCAAGCTCAGCATCTCTTAACCACAACAGTCAGATAAGCATTCTGATAAGGCCAGCAGAGCCACATCATTGGCAAAAAGCAGATACAATCACATCGCCACCATGACAGATACTCTCCACATCTAGAAAAACTGCCCATGAAAAACACAAACTGAATTGATGACAAGGAACAAATCTAGTGAGAACACATCTGATTTTCTATTGAGAATGTGGAGCTCACAGCTCTCACTCACACATTGGTTATACCCCATACTCCCGCAGAACCAAGGTTGACTTGTAACGTATCCAGCGTATCATCCATACTCAAAACTATTGTCATGGGACCACAAGCAGGGAACATGTCTCCTGGAGAGGTATGGTGGATTTACTTGCTTTGTCTTTGTGATAATAACCACTGAAACGTGTGTGTAACAGCTAAAGAACCAACGGACTCAGTAATGTCAGTTACACAGTAATATCCATCAGGATTGTTAACATTAGCTAACACGGTCATAACAAACCAAGAAACGTTGTAGCAGCACACTCCCTAAATGTATTGAATTGCTAATAAGTTCAACATTTCATTTGTAAAAGGAAGATTTGTTTTTTTGCTTTTCAAAAGTTGCATAGTCTCATTTTAAAGACATGGTAGCATTAAATTCATAATAATAAAATAGTAGCTTGGCCTATAGTGTAACTGTAGCTGTAACAGAAGACTTGCCTTGTTTCCTTTTGAATAGACATGTTTCAGGACCCAAACAGCATTTCAAGAGTTCTAGACAGCAGCTGAATGGAAAGTATTACAAAGCAGATTAATATAGTAATATGGCAGAGCATCAGCCAGAGGACGTGGCTGAATATGTTTACCTTACAAAGTGCTGCAATGCATAAGGATTACAGTATCATCTGCTGCGAGGATAAACAACACAACATAGTGGGGATAGAAATTGTTGTTGGTGGATGTTGTCCTGGAAGAAGATCACATGCAGGGTGGAAAACTGCACTTTCGGTGAATGAAGGCAGATTCTTCGGTGAAGATGTCTAGGGGTGACAGAGAAGACATAAAATGGGTATTAAACTCAGAAGGATGAAGTGAAAACAAGGTGAGAATTTAGAAGCGGAAACATAATTGGATTTCTGTTTATGATTTGTGATAGACGTTATCAAAAGCTTTTGTCAGCTGGTTCAGTTCCTGGTTCTGATCCAGCTGACCAGATTCAGCCAAATCACTGCCGGGGGAACGCTACTCCATTTGTTTACGTAAAGTGCTGGAGATCGGCAGTGCTCTCCACCTCTTTCTCCCTGTTTAGGAAAAAGCAGAGGGGGAGGGGGCTATAAAAAGTTGACCCCATCTCAGCCCCGCAGACTCGCTTCCAAGCTGGAGCTGCAGCAGCATCTGATCTCTCCGAGCAGCTGTCCTCTCCCTGCATCAGCACAACAAATACTTTACATTGCCTGACCTTTTCCTCCTGCATCACTATCCCAGCCATGCCCCCGCGTCCCTCGCGCCGCAAACACCCCCACCGCCCCCACCACCAGTTACACACACACCCTGTGTTCCTCTTCACACCACTACTCAACCCCATGCTAGGCCCCTGCCTGCCACGCACCCAGCTGACATGTATCCCTCATGCTCATGCAGTTGTATTATTTCTCTGACACATTAGCTGAGAATGGACTGTGACTAGTTGTAAGTGTGTATATATGAGTGCATGAGAAACTGAGAATTAATTTTCAGGTTTTCAAGAGTAGAGAGACAAGGAGTTACTCTTTATGTCTGTATTTTGGTATTTCATATGTATTTATGGTCTGCCTGCTTTAGCATTTATTCCTTCACCTCCAGCTGGATGGATTATTGCAAATTAGCAACCAGGAGAACTCAGCGCATTATTCCTATTAAATCTTTACACTGCTTTGAATTTGCTGAAAAGTGCAATTTTAATTATTCATATGCTTGAAAAATATATAAACACAGGATGTGTGTTGTCTTAATCTTTTGTCTGTTCGAGAGTATTGTATTTGTGTTGTTTTGCTTTATATACTGTATTTTCTGTATCTTTGTGTTAGGATTATGGTTAGGCCATTTACTCAATACATTTACTTAAGTACTGTACAATTGTAAGGTACTTGTACTTTACTTGGGCCTATTTCCAAGTCCTGATACTATATACTTCTACTTTACTACGTTTTGGAGGGAAACACTGTATTTTTTACTTCACTAGGTGAACTTAAGTTACTTTGCAGATTCAGTTTGTTATTACAAAATATAAATCAACTACCCAGCAGTAGATAAAATAGATGAAGTCACCCCCACCTTTACCAGCTGCAACATTACAGACACATTGCATCACTAAACTATTTTTAAACGAGCCATTCTGCTTTAATAAATACTTTTACTTTTGGTATTATAAGTATATTTTGATGCTAATGCTCATGTAATTCCTCTTAAGATGTTAAGTTTTGCATGTAGCAGAGTATTGTACTTTGTGGTACTGTCTTTACTGAAGTAAAAGAGCTGAAGACTTCTTCTGCCTCTGTAAACTAGTACTGCCAGAACCAAACATGGTGAGGGTTGGTAATGCTTCAGACAGGTAGGAACAGACTACTTAATTTTGTTCACACACTATTTTCCTTCTCATTCTTTCAAATGTTTTCATATTGTTTTATTGTATATATAAAGGTACGCATATTTGATTATGGTGCACATTTCAATAACAACTCATGTCTCAGTCGGAAAAGCACAGGTTTAATTATTAACATTAATAATGGTTGAATTTCACATTGGTGTTTCAGTACTGCATTACACATGTTGGTCTCTACTGGGCACATAAATAACAAAGTCATAATTAATGTTATTAGTCACACCTGTGCCTTTCAGAAAAGCACAAATGAATTTAACCTGAAAGTGGAAATTTACAGGAACATTATGGTGGAATATTAAATGTGTTGTGTGTGAATGAGCAGGATTTACAGCTAAAAAAGAGCCTATGCAACAAGGTTACACTTGAGTTTCTGAAGTAATATGTTCGGCAGGCTACACCATTATAATGAAATGAGTGTACTTTCGTTGTGTATGATAAATGTGATAAAACAAGTGACTCCATTAGACTGGAATACTGAGGAAAGCATGGTAAATGTGACATATGGCATGCTAACAGTAATTGTGCAAGTTAATAAGCAAGCTTTAAGCCCAAATCACAGCTGAGGTTTACACAGTGCAGTTAAAGGTTGAGTCTGAGCTGATGGATGAACCCTAAAAAAGTACAGTATTGACTGTACTGACAACATAGGGGTATGCCTGACAAGTCTGAGACGTACCAAAGTCACCACAGTACAAGCAGAAAACTATGGTTATATTTACCAAGGTTATGAGAACTCTGACTCTAACACTTAACTCAGTACAAGCAGAATTGAGTTGCATTTGATTTGTGGTGCTCACAGGTCATAAAAATCACATATAACTTAACACCAACTTTTCTATCCATTAACTATTTCCCAGTCCCTAAAAAACAGATCTTGATTTGCTTTGATATAAATAAGTTGAAAACTTTAATGATATCAACAAGTACTATTTTACAGCGTGCACTCTATTACTCCAAAACTGTAAACTTTGTGGAAAAAGAAACTGTTGTGTTTGGAAAGTAGTGTCTAAAACCCTCAGCAAGGTTTTCGGGAAATTTAGATTTTTATTATCTGTATGAAGTGAACTTTTAAGCTACATATTTAGCTTTTTCTGTTCCATTAGCAATCAGATAACTTCATGTGAATACATTTATCTGAACGGACAGCCTAAAAAGTTTCTTTTTAAAAGTTATTATGTTTATTTTATTTTATTTATTAAATAAATTTCTATCTGGTAGTAATTATTTTGTACTTCAACTGTGGACTGATCATTAGTATAATAATGCAAGAAGGATTATTCAAGCTCATTCAGCTGGTTAGAAAGTTTAATGAAATGTCTCGAACAAGGAACGAACACATTATTGGACTGTAATGTTATCTGAGTAATTAAAGCATTTATAACACAGATTAAGAATAACTTAATGTAAGGGGTTTGGAATAGTTTCCTGTGACACTTTCCAACCCTGAGAATAAACCATGTAAACAAACTCGTCTCACACTATTAAAATAGCCCGACGATGTGTAATGCAGAGAAAAGGGAACTCGCTCCGGACCGCGGCTGAAAATCCAGTCTCCCAGCAAGCCCTGCTACAGATCAGTGGAGTCAGGTTGCCTGTCATGAAGCTTCTGCATGTCTATTAACACTGACATGCCACTGCTGTGTGTGACTGCTGCTTTAACAACATTTACAACACAAAAATGATATAAAAACTCATGTAATACATGAGCTTTCTGCAGATAGACATGACTGTGTGAATGTTATACTGTTGTACAGTTAGACCACATGGTTCAGCAACAACAACCTCAAAATATCAATATAAATCTCACTTTAGGGCATGGAGCATTAATTAACAGGAGTGGAAAGTAAAACAAATTTCAATTATATGCTCATTGCTACAACTGAGTAGTTATTTGTATATATACAGTTTGTGCACATGTATATATGTTTGATATGAGCATGGTCCTGTGAAAACTGTGTCTCAAACAAGCAGCCTTGTTTAAGCTTCATGACAATGCATTTTTCATTTTAGTTTTTTTTTAGCATTGGACAAAGGGCATTTTTTCAGTTCCTTAAAATAGCATTTAATCCTTTAATCCCTTTAATCCTAATATTTTAGTTTGACAAAAAAATCTTAGCTCAAGGTTCATTTACCATACTAGCAAATTAATCTCGTGTTAAGATCGTTTTGTCCAAGGTCAAAAATTAACTTTCAGTCTCAATTTTTCTGACTTATCTAAAAACATCATGTGACTTGGAGCTATTATTCACTTTATATATTATTGAACTACATTTGGAAAGGCAATCATTAAAGAGTAGCTCAGAGACATCCACATGCTGCTAAGACATAGACAGGAAGAAGTTCCTTTCTGCTTGAAAACTGAATTTGTATGAATAACGAAACAATCAGGGTGATCTTTTAGGTTACATTGTCAGGGTTATATGCAGTCAATGATGTCTTAAAATTAGGCTACTTTTTGAGTTATGGTTGGTTTTCTGTACAAGGAAATATATTTCTAATTGAGAAATATATTAAGAAATATTGTAACAAATACATTTTAATTGAGCCACAATACATGTGCTAATATGAATGTGACTTTTTAACTGTAAACATTACAATGGCAGTTAATTTATCTGTTTTAATGGATTCAGTCAAGCCTTCAGTAAGCTTGTGTGCAACACTTTTAAAAAGTATACTGTTTTGGTCAAATTAAAGCATACTTACATGGACACAAAGAAGAAGAGTAGTAGCAGAGAAGGGGACAACACGTCATCTGGTGTTTCTAATCAAGCTGGAGGGGAATTGGAGAAGGATGGCGCTGTGTCCACCATCCACACACAAACTGCCACTCTGTAATAGGTGCTAACTTACATGTATGATGAGATGTTTCCTTGGTCACCGATGCTCCACTACAAAGCTCATTGTTGTTCCATCAAAGGAGGGCGGGGCGATGATTCTTGGACCTTGTTGCGTTGTGATGCTGATAACTGGCTTCCTGTCAGAGCTCGCTGCACCTCCTCTGGCGGTCACATGTCCCAAGCTCACAGGTAGCTGTAGTGGCCCTGGAGGGGCCTCACCTGTTGCACTGTAGTACGCACTCTCACCGCCTGTTGCATTAGTTTCTGGCCTAGGGCTTCTGCCGTTTTTTACCTTTTCTCCACCTGCTTCCTCAGAGTGACACAGTGACTGTGGCAACACCGTCTGGGCTTGCAGAGTGGGCGAGGGGATGAAGCCCGGGTAGATCATGTAGGTGGGGGCGTACGCTCCTGGGCTCAGTGCCAGTGGGGACAAAGAGAGAGGCACAGGTGTGACAGGGGTGACAGGGGTGACAGGTGCCACTGGAGAATGGGGCATGGGTACATCCACATATTGGCCTGTCTCGGGGTCAAACAGTCTCTTTGTAGTGGCCTGTATAGGAGTGTCCACCAGGTAATAATGTCCTGTTGTGGGATCCAAAAGCATCTTGCGCTGGGTTTGTGGGACTGTCTCTCCAGGAGAAGGTGTAGGTGACACAGCCGGGAAAGAGGGGGAGAAACACAAAACCTGCTGTTGTGCTTGAGGCCCCGTTGTTGCACCAGCGTGATGGTAGATGCTTGAAGCTGGGTACTCCATGATTAACGGAGACCTTTTCTGCTCAGGTGTTTTGATTTGGCTAACGTTTGCACCCACCTCCCTCGAAACAGGCTCTCGATTCAGCAGTTTGATATCATTCGTGTACCCCAGACCCGGTATGGTTAAATAGTTCTCAGAGTCTGAGGAGGCCTGTGCGACAGTGGGATTAGTGGGAATGATTTTGACCTTTCCCTGCTCCACCTGGCCGTGTTTCGGGGGCTCTATTTTCACAGACAGTGGAGCCGCCGGTGTGTTGGAGCTTTTCATAGTCGATGATGTTTGCAGCGCAGAGCTTTGTGGAATAGAGTTACTGACTGAACTAATGCTGACACGTGCCTTATTGCCAAAATGAAGAACACTTTTGTTACTAAATGTTTTACTTTGCTGTGATTGTGTTTTAAACGTGTCATCGTTATATGGAACATGTATAATATTCAGAGCTCCTTTATCTTCCTGTGGTTTGCCTGCGTCTGTGGTATTTGTTAAAGACTGAGGAATCCTGTCAGCGTTTGTTGTCTCCAGCTCCTCTGCTCCCTGCTCCTCCCTGGCAATAAGTGACAACACGTGGCTACCTGTGATTGGTTGTGGAGCTTGGGTTTTACGCTTCCATTCATTTCTATCAAAAACATAAAGCTGCTCCATTGTTTTGACGGCGGCTTTGAGCTTCTCTAATGCAGCCTGTTTTGGTATTGTAGGCTCATTTCTCCTTTCAGCTGTCTCACCTGCAAACTTTTCCTGCCTCTGTTTTGTCAGTTTGGTTTCATTATTTGGCTGAATCTCTGATTGGTCAGGGTGTGGCTGCTTGGCTCCAACAGGTGGCACCCTGCTAACTGTGCAATGTGATGGTGTATTTTCACTTTGAGGTGTTTCAGATTGGATGCCAGCCTCTGCCTGTTTCTGTGACACCTCAGCTGTCTGTTGTTTAACATTTGTTTTTACAGAGTGACATTTAATCACAATAGGCGATGGTAATAAATGCTTAACTGGCTCCTTTGCTGCCTTATCCTCAAGTTTTTCCGCTGCTGTCGAACATTTACTGTCGCTATTATCCAAAGAAACAAAGCGATATGAACTTTTGACCAATTTACGGACATCTCTGACATGATATATTGGTGTTTGAAACTTGCATTTGGTGTCTCTTATGTCTCTAACCGTGAAGTTTGGGATTTTATCTGAAGCAGACAAAACGTGGCATTTGGCATCACCCACTGCCCTGAATGTGTTAACAGTGTTGTAACTTATTTTAGGGGTTAACAAGTTGGCAATATTCAGTGTGCAGCCTTTATTTTCCTTCACACTTCTCAGACATATTTTTATCTCAGGGGGTTTTGCCCCCTTTTCGTTTTCTTCTTTCCCTACTATGTTTCCATTATTGCCTGTTTTGAACTCTTTTTCACATTTCTGTGGTCCAGCAGGTGCGTCTGTGTTAGGTGGACGGCTTGGCAAGTCTTCTTTCGAAAGTAGCTGGTAGCTCGGAACAAAAAGCAGTTTTGTCAGCATGCTGCTTGTATCTAATCCGTCTTTTGCTGTGGTCTGTGTTTCACTTACAGAGGTGGGTTCTGCCTCCTTTACAGGTTTGAACTCACCTTCTTTCAATGAATTAAATGCACTACTTTGACTGTGGCTGAGTGGTGCTTTTGAAATCTCATGTTGTGACCTTTCTGAATCATCTGCTGCTTTGTGGATTTTCTGCTCCTCTGTGGGCTCACAGGAACTGGTTCTGCTGCCCTCTGGGCGTTGATCATCACTAGAATTAACAGTGAATCCTGAGCCTGATTCTGATGTCTGTCTTTGTAAGCCTCTTCCTTGACTCCTTTCTTTCATCCTGTCTTGATAACAAGGGGAATGTGGTGGGTATTGCCCCCTCTCCATTTTACGCTCATTTTCGAATTGCATCTTTTTGGAAATCACATTTTTCAATAGACTTGATGCAAAAACTGCTCTCTTGTGTGTGCCCCCCGTACTATCTGTGTGATTATATTGCATCTCACACCCTGACCTGGCCAACACAGTCCCAGTTACCTCATTGGGTCGTGCTTTCTTGGAGCATTTTGGGCGTTTGGCGCCTTCAGGCGCTTCAACATTACAGCGGAAATTCAGCGTGACTCCACGCTGCTTTGGCTGAACAGGATCTTTCAGTTCGATCTTTTTGCTAGAAGAGGAAGACTGTTGAGAAGTTGTTCTCTTATTCAGTGCATACGTTTTGGTTTGTGGAGCTTTAATGTCGGTGATAGACTTACCATGCCTCCTACTGTCCACATTCTTATTCATTTCCAGAGTTGCGCTAGAAGTCTTGTGCGCAATTACGCTCCGCTCTCTTCCCTGAGACATGTTTCCATAATTCCAGTCCACATAAGCTGACCATTTATTCAGCCCATATTCCGACATAGATGATTCACTGGAGGTGCTAAGGTTAATGGCATCAAAGTATGGACAAGCCAAGCTCCGAAAAGACTTGGCGGTCAAATTACGCACCTCTTTATCAGCGTCGTCCAGCTCACTGATGGAGCTGGACGCTCCGCTGGAATACTCATTTATATCTTTCCGTCTTAGTTTGGTTGCAAGGTGCTGACGGCCCGGAGCAGGGATGAAATATTGGGCTCTATCGCACAAGGACCCCGCTCTGGTGCCAGAGCTCACTAAAGAGAAGTGGCTCCTGTCTCCAAAGTGTCTTGTGTACCCACAGGTGCCGTTGTCAAAGATGTTGTGAGGCTCGTTCACCGCTCTGGAGGATGTTTTTATCGATAAGTGAATTTTCGCCGCTTTAGCGTCTCCGCTTTGGTTTTTGCACACGCTTTCATCTGAGCTGGCGCATTTGTCCGAGTCACAAAGATCACTATCCTCCTGCTCGGTGGTGACAACTGCTCCTCCGCCGAGATCAGACTGAACTTTCGCCTGGCTCTTGCCCCCAGGTATCAAAGTCCCCTCCTGCGTTTCGTCGCTTTCAAAGGACGCGTAATCCACAAAGGAATAGACCAGGTTGTTGTCTTCAAAATCCCAACAGGTCCCTCGCCCCAGGTCGTAATCTACATCGTGGTCGAGCTCGGTTAGCTGGATTTCGTGCGTCGTGATATAGTGAGACTCGTCCTCCACGGTGTCAGAGCAGTGGTCGGACAGCACCGCGCTGGCACCATCATCAGACTCCGTCTTACTGTTGAGATAGATGTCCGTGTACTGGAGCTCATCACTCTCACTGCGCACATGTTCGCTGCAGTCACTCGGGTCGAGCTCGACCTGGCGCTGCTTCTCATTCTCCGAGTCCTGGTCGGTGTTGGGAAGCTTGGTCAAAGTTTCCAAAGGACGCTCACCCGAAACAGGCCCGGGGACGGTGGCCCGCTTGTCCTCTAACCGCTCTTCAACAAAGTCCTGTGAAGTGATTTTACACTCCTTGCCATGCTCCCCTTGCTTTGAGCTGTCGCATTTCACCACAGACAGCTGGTTTCCCTCGCCAGTGAAAGTCACTTTCACTGTTTTTGCGCCTTCTGGTTTCATGTCCAGATCCACATAGTTGGACTCGTCGGTTTTTGTCTCGGTGGCGTGGCCCTTACTGTCCCTGTTGTCCTTATCCTTGTCCTCTGGGAGCAGCTTCCTGTGAAGTCCGGTGACATCTCGGTAAGTGAGAGTTTCCTCCGCTGCTTCCATTTAGTCCGGTCTTACCGTCAGGTGGTCCTAGTTTACGATGTTATCCCGACACAGGACGGAAAACTCTGACGGCTGCGGGGGGGGGGGACGGGAGG